GGAGATTGCCGAACTTCGGCGCTCCGCCGGCCAAGTCAGGCGTGAAATGGACCGGCGGGGGAGGGAGAGTGTAAGTGGGATGGCCGCCGCGGGGGCGTACCGCGAAAAACTCAGCGCCCTCAAGGCGGCCATCTTTACGGCCAAGGCCCGTGCCTGGGATGAATTGGTCTCCACCATCGACAGGGACCCATGGGGGCGCCCGTATCACATCGTGATGAGGCGTTTGCGCAATTGGGCGCCCCCTCCAAAGGCGTCCCTGGTCCCCGACTTCCTCGACGAAGTGGTGGGGGCCCTCTTTCCATCGGGGGAAGCTTGCATTCCCCCCTATGAGGGCCGACCATCGGACGGGGAGGAGGAGTCGGTCGGGGTCACCGAGGTGGAGATAGACAGGGCCGTCAGGAGGCTCGGCGCCAAAAAAGGGCGCCGGGCCCCGACGGCATCCCAGGCACAGTGTGGGCCTTGGCGATGAGGCAGATGGAGGTGAAGAGTGGCACAATGCAGCTCTTCACCTCTTGTTTGAGGACCGAGGTGTTCCCCAGCCCCTGGAAGAGGGCCAATCTGGTCCTCTTCCGGAAAGGGGGCAAGTCGGAGGACAGGCCTTCCGCATATAGGCCGATATGCCTATTGGACGAGGCGGGCAAACTATTCGAAAGAATAATACACGCCCGCCTCGTCCGGCACCTATCCCGGAGTAGTCCAACGCTCAGCGAGGAGCAATACGGCTTCCGGGAGGGACGGTCAAGCGTGGACGCGATCTTACGCGTCCGGTCCCTCTCGGAGGCCGTCGTGAGGAGGGGGGGAGTTGTGTTGGCGGTGTCCCTGGACATCGCCAACGCGTTCAACTCCCTCCCTTGGGACCGGGTGGAGGCGGGTTTGGCCCATTTTAGGGTCCCCCCCCACCTGGTCTCAATTATTAGAGACTACTTCTGGGATAGAAGACTGGAGTTCCGTAACAAAGCGGAACTCCAGTGCGGAAGGGTGGTCTACCGCGGTGTTCCTCAGGGGTCCGTACTAGGACCTCTACTATGGAACATCGCGTATGACCAAGTCCTCCGTCTTGCCCTCCCCCCCCCCGCCTGCAGCGTCGTCTGCTATGCGGACGACACGATGGTGCTGGCCGGGGGCAGGGGCTGGCGGAGCGCCCTGGAGAAGGGACGACGGGCGGTAGACCAGGTGGTAGGCTCCCTGAAAAGGATGGGCCTCAAGATGGCTCCCCTCAAGACAGAACTCATGTTCTTTCACGACAGGAGGAGGGGACCACCGGAGGCCCGAGTCCGGATCGACGGTGTCTCCGTGAAGACGGGTCCCTCAGTTAAATATCTGGGACTCGTCTTGGATGGTAAGTGGGGGTTCCAGAAGCATTTTGAGCTTCTGGCCCCCAAGTTGGGCTGGGTGGCCAACATGCTAGGTGGCCTCCTGCCCAATCTCGGCGGTCCTAAGAGGAAAGCACGGCGGCTGTATGCCGGCGTCGTCCAGTCCATGGCCCTCTACGGGGCCCCGGTTTGGGCGAGTGCGG